GGTGGACGGATCAATAATATAGGCATTTCGTAACAAAGCAATTTGAAGGCTTTCCTCATCTTTATATGGTCTGGAACAGTTTAAATCACCTTGAAATTGTCTGCTACTGAAGGTCAGTAGAATTCTCCCACAAAGCTAACTGGGCTTGGGGCTTCGGGAGAAGGAGCTCTTTGATCACTTTTTCTACTTATTCTATAGAAATTAGTATGTATGTATTTTCTGTAACTATTTCTCATGTTGTCCTACAAGATAAATTTTACTCTCAAAAGCCATTTTATGGGAAAAGAGGTGACCAATAACCACTATGTACCCAGTCCCACTTCTGTGCAGATTTGCAATAGATGCCGTTGGTGCCACACACGGGCCCTCGCTGCCTGCTGCCCCCGCCCCACTGGTGGGAGCCGCTCAGCACCAAGCAGACTGACCCCCTGGCACCCTGCGTATTCCAGCGCTTTCTGTCATTTCAGCCTGAGACTAGACTTAGGGAAGCCCCCTCCTTGCCTTGCTTCTTCCCCATCCTAGCCTGTTTCTATGACTCTCTTCCAAGTTCCTCCAGAGAGAACTCCCTCATAAATCACTGCCTGAGGATCCCAACTTGGCCTCTGGTCCAGGGAGCCCGTGTCTGGAGTCCACCCCCTGGCCCCTCTCTCTCATCCACACACAGTCTGCGTGTGGCACTCATGCACTATCTATCACACGGCACCTTATGTTGCAGACAGTTCTGTTTTGTGTCATCCCCCTGAATGCATGCTAAGTTCTCTGAAGGACAGGGCCGTGTCTTCGATATCTCGACGTCTCCTGCTTCACTTAGCAAGGTACTGAGATTAACAGAAAGTGAATAAACAAACAACGCATTTCTTGGGCCACATAATTGTCCTGAATGTGGCGGAACTGGAGTCAAGCCGAGTGAGGATTAATGAGGTAACAGGAGAGCAGTTTCTCTTTCTACAGATCTAATTTCCATGGAAAATCAAAAGGGAGACTCAGACCGGAGCCTCAAGAAGCAACTCTCAGCTGTCTATGCTAAGTTACATGCATGTGCACGGACATCTGGATATTGAACAACTTTGAGAAATAATTATAAACGTTATTTTCCATTTCTCTAAATACCTGCTTTAATTAAGCTGGAATCTTCAAAATGACGTCTCTACCAGAATGGCTCCTCTTTAGCCGTTTCTCAACAGTCAGCGTGTCACTGGGTAGCTATTTTAGTTAGAATGTGGCTCCCTGGCAGCTGGCACCCTCACTCACTGTGCAGTGAGGTCCCGTTGGTAAATGATGCTCAGATCCACCCTGGGACCCCTTCCAGTCAAGGGCCAGGAAAGGACCTGTGTGCGGGAAGCAGCCCTGCCGGCGGGTGGCAAGTGACCAGGCTGCTGGACCCTGTGGGAAGAGAAGCGCTGCATTCTGAGCTGCTTTTACACATTTTGGTCAGTCCTGGGGAAGAAATCCCAGGCAGCTCAGTGTGTTCTGTTTTCGCTTTCCTAAAGCAGAGTCGCTGCTGACTTCACGCCCAAAACGTGGGGAAGTAAGTGTCCAGTCGTTTCCTGAGCTGTCCATGCAGCCAGACCCCTGCAGGGAGGGGACAGCAATGACCAACCCAGCCAGGACCTGAGTGGTTTTCCGGATCTCAGAAATGGAGACTGAGGAAGGAAGGGGGTACTGGACCAGCCTGGGAAACGCCGCTGCAGCTGATGGGCAGGCCCCTGACACTGGTGGGGTCGCTCTCTGACTGCGGCCCGGTGCCCCACCCCCCTTCTCTCACCCACGCCTCCTTCTTCCCTCACCCGCAGCTGCTCGTCCTTCTCTTGCTTCTTCTCGACTCTCCCATCTCATCTCGAAGGAGCATCTGCACGGTGGGGCAGGGAGGGGGGACATCATTTAGGCTGTAGAACTAAGTGCTCGAGGCAGAAAGTTTCAGGTCAGGGCAACGAGCACGTGAAAGAACTTGTCACGTGCCCAGCACTGTCGCCTCCGGGAAGTAAATTTTACTAAACACGAAGGTTCGCTCCAGCATGCCCTGGTGGGCACACCGTCTCTTTAGAGAAACCGCCCATCACGTATTTGTGGCAGAACTCAACGGAGTGGGCACAACCAGCTGCTAACTGCCACATCCACCCTGACCACGTGCAGCACAGAACCCGGATCCCCACCAGCACAGATGTTTGTTAAAAGGTACCACAGGGGCCAGCCCGGTGGCTCAGCAGGTAAGTGCACACGTTCTGCTTCGGCGGCCTGGGGTTCACTGTTCAGATCCCAGGTGCGGACATGGCACCGCTTGTCAAGCCATACTGTGGTAGGCGTCCCACATATAAACTAGAGGAAGGTGGGCATGGATGTTAGCTCAGGGCCAGTCTTCCTCAGCAAAAAGTGGAAGATTGGCGGCAGATGTTAGCTCAGGGCTAATCTTCCTCTAAAAAAAAATTTTAAAAGGTACCACAGGCTTATAGGTTCCCAACTCCATTCTCTCCACTCCCCGATGGAGGCCTGGAAAATCAGACGTGTTCCTAGCCCAGGAGCACGGATGGCTTGTCCCAGAAGATCCACCTTTGGCACCGACGCTCTGGGGGGCCCCTTCTTGGACTATTTAGTGGAAATTCTGGTTCCCGCCCAGAGGGAGGAATTCACCATCTAAGTGAAGAGAAAACGTAGCTGCACGAAGAGGCCCACAAGCCCCGTTAGACCAGGAGCAGACTCGACCGACTCACGGCCCCTGGGGCTCCTGACTCAGCAGGTTGATGGCACGTTTTGAAGACACCCAGTCTGGGGTTTGCTCTTGAGGTTTCTTTTGTTTTGCTTGCTTTCCGTTCTTGCAGAGAATATCACTTCTGTTGGCAAGATTCCTTTGACTGTGGTCAGAAAGAGCATTGTCCTGTGAAAAGCAAGCCCTGAAGCCTCCACTGGACGCTCGTCATCAGCTCCTGGCCTCCGAGTCGATGGCAGGAAAGGAGGAAATGCTGAGGCCGAGGCTGGCGGGTGGAGGGCGTCTCTGGCAGCCGTGAGCACCACCCCCATCCTGCAGCTGGGAATGGGGCCTCAGACAGAGTCAGAAAATGGCCCCGTGAGTTGAGTTTGACCTCAAAACTCTGCTCCTATCATATATAAAGAACACTAATGATAACAGCAGCAGTATGAGTTGGGCGCCCTGCGAGTCTATGAGGCTGGTCCTCACGGAGCCCCTGGGACCCTCTCTGTTGTCAGATACGACGGCCACAGGCAAGCAGAAGCCATGTTTCTTAGTTCTCACCACAAACCCAGGAAAACACGCTGAGCCGGGGTTTGCGAGGCCCCGGGAAGCAGCTGCCTCAGAACCATGAAGAGACGAGGAGGCAGGAAACGGCAGCCGCCCCCCCTTGCTCCCGCCGCGTTGTGGGGCTCGGAGGCCCCTTAGGATGGAAAGAGCTGGATGGAATGGGAGGCGTTATTGCCTGCTCTCATCTCCCATCTGTCCTGTGGCTCTTTGGGGAGAACAGAGGCCCCAATGCGCTGAATCAGAGAACGCGGCGTGTTTCCCCTGCTGTCGCTGGTCCGCCATGTCGCGCGCTGTTCTTGGGCGTGAGCCTAAGTCTCAAGCAGAAAACCCATAGCGAAGACATCGTTCCTGAAATGCGACCTCAGACACAAGGCCAGGGCGGGTTCTGGGGAGCGTGCCACAGGCGTGCAGAGCCCCCCTTCTGGGCCGGCCCAGGGGAGGCACCACGCGCCCCGAGACACCCCTGCCTCCCTAGCATCACCTGTGAGGTGCTGTTCTGGAAAGGGACACGCTGGGCCAGGCGTCACTCCAGGGGCGCTGTCCTGCTGCAGCTCAGTCTGCCTTGACCGCCTCTCGGCTGAGCATCCTCGAGGCCCAGGCTGCACTTTCCCCAAGTGCTCTTGGGGCACAGATCGCTGAGCGTGTGACACTCGCACCCCCAACTCCTCCGGACCCCTGGACCTGGACTCACTCACAGCCCCAGGGAGGCGAGGAGGTCGGAAAAGCGCGTCTGTCTGCATGTGGGAACAAGGAGCCTGTCCCTGGGCTGGGAGACAGGCGTGTTTGAAGGACCCGGGTGTCTGGTACAGCTTGTCGCTAGTCCGGGTGGCCCTCAGGGACAGCTGGCTCCACTTGGGGGGGTGGGGGGAGCGAGGAGCGAGGCAAGCGCAGGACCCACAGGCTGGCACCTGTTGTAACGGCGTCCTTGGCTCTCTCAGCCCCCGCCCCCATCCTGCACACAACACATTCCCGTCAGTGAATCTTCCAGTTAAGAAGCAATTCTCGGGCTGGCCCCGTACCCTAGTGGTTGCATTCCTATGCTCCCCTTCTGCAGCCCGGGGTTCACAGGTTGGGATCCTGGGCGAGGACCTAGCACCACTGGTCAAGCCACACTGTGGCAGCATCCCACACAAAATAGAGGAAGATTGGCACAGACGTTAGCTCAGTGACAATCTTCCTCACGAAAAAAAAAAAGCAATTCTCAGCCCACAGGCCCAGGGTGGGGGTGGTGGCAGGATTTCTGGGGGTGAATCTGGTGATTATGGTACACAGCCAAGCTACAGGCTCTGCGCCCCTCCCCTTAGGAGTCGCAGCCCGAAATCCAGCAGGCAGCCAGCTTCCTCTCCCTTTAGCTCGGGTGCCGGCCGTGGCCTGGTGTCACCTGTTGGGTGGCGGGTTGCCCACGGTCCCATCTGCTCCCAGGACCCCACTGCACACACGTGGGGAGAGGCAGACCTCTGTGTCCCTCAGGTAGAGAATCGGCAGGTGCACACGATCAGGTGCCCGCTGACCCTGGTTTTGAGAACTAAGTGAACCTCTGGGAACCAGAGCTTTGCTGGGGCACAGTCCTGAAACAAGGGGGCACGCGACCCCCCCAAAGCACACCCTGTCGCTACGCGAAGCCCCAGGACACAGCAGCCGTGTGGTGCTTGTCGGACCCTGCATGGCTGTGGGCGGCGGGCCTGTGGGTGGGATGAGGTGAAGGAAGGGCGGCGTGCCGTGTCCTGACCCCTTCTCTGTCCCCCAGGCCTGGATGCGAGGCAAGCGCAGGTCGTCGTCCTGTCCTCGGGCACCAAGTGCATCAGCGGCGAGTACATCAATGACCAGGGGCTGGTGGTCAATGACTGCCACGCGGAGGTCGTGGCCCGGAGAGCGCTTGTCCACTTCCTGTACGCGCAGCTGGAGCTGCACCTGAGGTGAGCGGGCGCATCCCATCGACTCACGCCCCGGACATGAGCTCGCGGCTCTGTGGGTGACCCACGTGTCCTGGCTGGCAGCCCACAGCTGGCCCAGAACTGCTGCCCCCTTTACCCTGGCGGGTCCCCTGCACACGGGGCCCGGCCGTGAGCTTGAAATGACGTCCTCATTCAGACGGTGGCGTCTCCTGAGCTCACGCTGTCGCCCCACAGGCCGTCAAACACTGAAACGCCCAGCATCCTCCCCACTGTTCTCGGACCTCCATCCAAGCAACCTGCCTGCCCATGAGTGACCGCAGCAGACGGTTTGCAAGGTGCACACATGTCACCCCCCCCACACACGTGCGCACACGTGTGAACACACCTTGTCACACACCCCCTCATTCCATCCCATAACAGTGTCTATTAAGACACTCACAGCCATCTTGTCCACCCGGCTGCCGTGACAGAACACCACCGGCTGGGCGGCCTGAGCAGTGAACACTGCCAGCTCAGTCTGCAGGCTGGAGGTCCGGAATCAAGGAACAAGCAGATCCAGCACCTTCTCGCTGTGTCCTCACACAGGGGAGGGGGCGAGGGTGCTCTCTGGGTCTCTTTTATACGGACACTAATCCCATCACAAGGCTCCACCCTCAGGACCTCATTGCCTCCCAAGGGCCCCACCTCCTAATAAAACCACTTTGGGGGGTGGGTATGAATGCACGAATTTGGGGGACACAAGTATTCAGTGCATATCGAGGGGTTGGCTAGGGGCCAGTGCTCCCCTATGACCACAGCACCCCACGAATAAAGAAAGGCACGGGCAGCTACCACAATGCTCTTCACGAGGCCGGAATGCAGTCCAGTGTCAAGAAGACCGTGCAGAGAGAGGGCAGCCAGCCACAGCCGCCCGTGGACCACACGCTGCCAACTGTCATTGAGAGCATGCCCCAAGTCACTGCGCACGCTCCAGATGACAAAGACCAGGGGAGGACGGCACTGCGGGGCCGGTGGAGGAGCGCAGCGGCATCCCCAGAGGAGCAGCCCCCCAGCTCTGGCTCCAGCTGCCCCTTCCCTGTGGGGGGCAATGAAGGCGACGTTCTTCCACTGCCAGCCTTCAGTCATTAACCCAGAACTAGCCTCCTGTTTTAAAAAGAGAAAGAAACAAAACCCCACAGAAAAGCCGCCTGCCTCTCGGATGCTGTTGGCCCTTGAAATGCGAGGGGCACGCGGGGAGCTGAGAGTGGGCTCTGGGACGGCCTGTTCACTTGGAGCAACACCCTGCTCCCCGGTCACCTTCATCCAGCATGGAAGGGCGCTGGTGACATCAACACATCCACTCCATCTCCACGAAATTGTCCCCCTTCAAAGGAGACCCAGGATTCAGCCTTTCCCCCAGGCTCGGTGCCTCTGAGCCGCAGAAAAGCGTGGGGAGCTGATGGCCCCAATCGGTGTTCTGTTCCGAGAACTTCTCGGCCGGGCAAGCTTCTCACAGAGCACAGATTTCCGCAAGGACGGCACGGCCTCCCCCAGGCGCTGGGCTGTGAGGCAGCCTGCTGTCTTGTTTCCCTTCTGCCGGCCTTGTCCTGGGGCCACAGGGCTCAGGTGCCACCAGACAAGCCCCAGGCCAGCTCCCCCTGTCCCCAGCCAGCAGGTCAGAGCGTGTCTGAAACACAGGCCAGGCTCGACTCCACTGCCCTGCGCCCCTCTGTCCCGAATGTGCTCACGTCCCGCCCTGTCCCAGGACCCGAGTGCAAGGCCAGCGGTGGGCTTGGGGACGTCGTCTGCTTCTTGCCTCCTCCAAGCATGTTCTAAGGGGGCATTCCAAAAGGAAATGTGCTCCCACGGTGGGCTGTCCAATGTTCTGGGCCGGCTGCTCCGGCCGTCGGGAAGCAGCAGGCTGTCGCCTGTGCTGGCGTCTCTCCCTACGACACACTGAGCAGAGCGGAATCGCAAGTGGATGTGAGCACACGGCCATCCAGGCGCGTCCCAGCCCCAAGCGATTGGTCACGGAGACTTGACAGCTGTGGGCGTCCTTGTCTTCATCGCATCTTCCCGCTGCCCTTCCAAGTCCTCTGAAGCAGTGTTCTTCAATTCCACTAATAATGGGGTCTCACGGGGCTTCGGGGAGTGACTCAGGCGTGCCACTGGCACGTGCAGCAGCTGCAGAAAGGGGAGGGCGGCCCAGAGGCGTGCCGCACAGACTCACAGGGAATGGCGCCCTAGTGCCCCCGATTAATTCTCATCTGAGCCCATGTGCGGGGAGCCGCAGCCTCACGCACCGTCCCTCACGGGTTCCAGGCCCACTGAGGGTGTGGCCGAGCCCAACTGTTGCCAATCTCTCCAAATGTGGGGAAGGGTTTCTCTCCTAATGTCTGCTGCTCAATCAGAAATATTCCCAAATACCCTAACTCTGGTCTGGGTCACAGCTGGCGCCTGCCCTGCCCTCGTGGGGGCTGAGCAGCAGCTGCAGAGAGCCAGCACAGCCCGGGGGCGCCGGGATCTGCACCCAGAGACCCAGGGCCGGCGTTTGCTCCAAGTTCTGGGAGGGGTGGGGGCACCTGGCAGTGGAGGGAGCAGAGGCAGGGAAGCAGAAAGGCTGGCGGATGCCTCTCAGGTTTCCTGGGGAGAAAATGTCTGTTCTGCTGCCTCTGTGATCTCAGGCCCCAGGAAAGCAGAATCCATCACCAATGGGGCAGAACCTGTAAAAACAGCAAGAGCGGCAGAAAGTAGACTGCCTGTGATGAGCGAGCACAAGAGCGGGGAGGGAGGGCCGCCAGCAGACCCGGCACAGGGCCACGGCGACCCGAGAAGGAGGCCGGGAGACTCTGAGGGCACAGGCCTGGACCCCAGAGGCTGTTCGACCTTCTCCATGGTCGCATGCAGAAGAAAAGCACTTCCGTGCACAGATTTCCCGCTGGACTGGCGGCCGGGCCCTCCCCACCCTGCAGAAAGCCCCACGGAGGCCAAGTCCAGGTGACAGTGCCCCCACCTGACGGCACATAGGCAGCCTGTGAAGCACGTTCTATAAACACTGAGACACGGCTGACACCCGCTGGGAAGCTGGCTGTGTAGACAAGCAGCCCAAGACAGAAAAGGCAGGGAGTGAGATGACTGTGCGTCTGCAGGCCATGTTCGCTTGCACGTGGCTTCGCTGTGGCCTGGTCTGGAAGTTTCCGTGCAGGGAGAAAACACAATGTGAAGGGTGAGGAGGACAGAAACCCGGGGCAACCGCCCAAGGCGGAGCAGCAGCGTCCTGGGGTCAAAGTGCATGGGCAGGCTTGAGGCACATGGTGACAGGAGCCTCTCTCTGTCCTCTGTCCCCAGCAAGCGCCGCGAGGACTGGGAGCGCTCCGTCTTCGTGCGGGCCAAGGAGGGCGGCTACCGGCTGAGGGACAACGTGCTGTTTCACCTCTACGTGAGCACGTCGCCCTGCGGGGACGCGCGGCTCAACTCGCCCTACGAGATCACCACCGACAAGCGTAAGAGAACACCTTCCCTCTTTCCCGCCAGCAGCCCAGACCCGGCTCCAGGCGCCCGTGCTGACCCCGCTGGTGTGCGGCCGGGCCTCAGAGGACTGGGTCCACAGAGAGCTGCTTAATCACCCCTCCGACATGTTAGCCTGAAATGCCCAGACCGTGGGAGCCCAGTAGCTTGACTCTAAAATTAGCTATTTAATGGCCCCGGTTCCGCTCCATTTTAATCGGTCAGAAGGCCCCCGTCCCAGTCTGGAGAATAGGATGAAGGAGAGCAGAGATGAGAACTACACAGAGCGGGAAACTCCAGCTGGCTGTGTCTGCCTTCATTTGCAACCGCGAGGAGAGTAAGGCTCAGCTTTTTAACCAAGCCAGTGTTGGGTGATGCCCACAAAGGCACCTCTCCAGGGGTCTGTGCTGAGCCCCCGGGCAGGGCCTACCCTCTCGGGGATTTTAGCAGAGCAGGTGCACGGAAAGAAGTCGTCTCCACCCCCAACGAGAAGTGACACTGTTCCCAAGTGGGGACACACCGGGGTCTCCTTGGTGTGGCTCTGATGATGTCAGGATATCTCCAGGGAGAAAGAAACTCCCTGCGGCTGCTCCATAAGAGGGGTGAGGAGATTCTACTGCTGACGTTGCGCGTGTGTTACACGTACTTGTGTATGCGCCACACACACACGTAGATCCTTTCAGAAGCAGTACAAGGCAGGTCTTCTGATGTCGGCAGTGAAGTTAAATGTACGCGTGTGATGAGGGAGCTTGTCCCATTAGGATGTTGACGCATCCAGGTTCAGTCTTGGGCGCAGAGAGAACTTAAAGTAGAAACACACCAGACACACGGCTTTTAAAGGTTCCTGACAACCCCCATCAAGGCTCCACGTGTGTCCCACTTCCCAGAGGAAAGATGAGCACTTTCTGAAGGCCTCTGCGTTGCAGGCCTGCGGCAAGCTCCTCCACCCAGGCTAAAGGAGGTGCAGGAGCAGAGTGCTGTTGAGTCCCACACGTGTTGAACCCGGGGCCCCTCACTCAGGCTGGAGGCTGGCCCAGGAAAGTGCTCCCTCCTGTTTGCCCACTTTCCGCCCAGCCCGTCGCCTTCCCTGTGGAGAGGGGGACAGAGTCCTCAAGGAACATTTTCATTCGTGTCTCAGGCCGCCTGGGCTGCTGTAACAGAACCCCACACACCAGGCGGCTCCTAAACCAGAGACATTGACTTCTCAGTTCTGGAGGCTGGAAGTCGGGATCAGGGTGCTGGCAGACTCAGTGTCTGGCGAGGGCTCGCTCCTGGTTCATGGATGCCATTTTCTCGCTGTGTCCTCACATGGTGGAGGGGACAAGGGAGCTCTCTGTGTCTCTTTTATAAGGGCGTTAATCCCATTCATGGGGACTCCATCCTCATGACCTAATCTAAACCAAATCACCTCCCAGAGGCCCCACCTCCAAATATCATCTCACCGGGGCGGTTAGGGCTTCAACATACGGATTTCGAGGGGCACAAACATTCACTCCACGACAACACACTATGGAAAGTAAAAGGAAGAACCAAGTGGAATTGAGAATCAAGAGAAGGGAGGAAAACAAATATCAGGACCCTCTCAGGGGACTGCCCCGGGAGGGCGGGAGGCGGGGGCCCTGGCCACCTGAGCAGGGGGCGCAGCTGCAGTCCTGGGGGCGTGAGACCACACAGACTCAAAAAGAGAAAGGAAGGAAAAGATGCTGTGAGGTTGGTTCATTTTTCCTGGAGATGTTTATCTGCTGGACCCACATGATACCACCTCTGCCATGAAATGTGAAATGTGGCCCATTAGACAGCTACTTGGAATTACCTTTCCGTTTTCTCTCGAAAGGCTTGGAGTCATGAAGACCCAGCCTAGGAGCCCAGGTTCTGGGAGGGAAAGTCCCCAGGACGTTTGGGGCCATCCTTAATTTATTCAGCTTCCTCCCGGTGGGGGTCTGGCAGCCAGGTGAGGACGGCAGGAGCCTCAGTCACGCCTGAGGCCACAGTCTCTCCAGAGGGACGTTTCTAGCTCATTGGGCCCCCCCGCCTGTACATTGGGCACCCACTGTGGCTGCCCAGCCCTCGATTCTGACTTGCAAAGCCAGCAGTTTAGAAAAACAAGCAGATACATCTGGGATGCACCCTGGGGTTCACTTGCAGACACAGATGTCTTTTACTTCACCGTGCTTTTAAGAAGTGGCAGGTGCAGGTAGGAGAAAAACATCAAGCATTTCCCCCACATTTTCACGGCAGCTATGCCAGGCGGACACAAGCTGCTGCTCCTGGGTTATGCAGACGGGGGTTTCTCTGAGCACGTCCTACAGGGCACCCCGGAGAAGGGGTACCTGGCGAGGCTGCCCCACAGACTCGTCAGCCCAGATCGTACATTGCCTTTCCCTTATTTGGTCAGTAGGGCAAGAAAACCCAAATTCCTGCCGTCCCCTGCCTGGAAGGGCATCCTGGAGAGACCGCTAGTATTCTCCACACTCCCGAGGAAGGCACGAGGCTCAGGAATCGTTTTCCTTTTAGAGAGAATTCACTACCATCAAGGGGGCTCAGCATGCCGCTCACTCGTATAGTGTTTCTCTCTGCTGCTGTTCAAAGAGAGTTGGATCCAGAAGAGAGGATGCGAGTGAGGGGACCTCTGCTCTGAGGGGCTCCCACTGGAGCAGAGTCAATGGGGACAGGCCTGCAGGGCCATTCCCAGAGGTCAGCGCATCCACCTCCTGCAAGTTAACCCTGTAGAAACCCAGCCTCACTGCCCCGTGGCCTCGAGGTCCGTGCTCCTAAATGGAGCCCAGAGCACACGGTCCTGAGGGTCACAGCAATGTTGTAAGGTCCACAAATGCAGACTGCAGAGCACAGAGGTGCTCGGGCCACTCCCCTGAGGTCATCATGGGTTCTGACGAGCTCGCTGCAGTCTGGGAGAAGCTCCGGCACTGGAGACCCAGGTCTCCGAGGTGCTGTCCACCACCTGGCCCACTCTGGGGCGGCCTCTCTCCTCTCGCCACTATGTCGCCCTGCTTGGTCCCAATCACTTTAGCTCATTTTATTCTCCCTCCCTCACTTGGTCTACAAGGAGCTGTTGTCATCCCTACACAGGCCCATGGCATGCCTGCCCCTCCACCAGCCACAGCCGTGCCCCGACTCTCCTAGCCCCTTCAGCTTCCTCTCCCCCTCCATACACACACACGTGCACAAGAACACACACACATACAGACGAGCACACACATGTGAATAAGCACACATGCACATACAGACAAGCACACACATGTGAAAAGGCATACATGCACATACAGACAAGCACACACATGAATTAGCACACACTGGACAAGCGTCTAGTGCATCAGATCTGCAGTCACACTGTGACATGACTGGATCTCAGACAAGTTCTGAACAGGGTCCTGGACTGTTCCCCCTTCCTTTGAAGAGTGAGGGAGCACAGAGCCGAGCTCAGTAAGAAAATTCTCTAGAAGGTCCAAACAACCACTGGAGCCAGGACCACCCACCAGCTTAGTTAGATGCTCCAATCTATCTCCCACAAGATGCCACAAGAAATAGCATGATTACGTCGTGTCTTACGGACTGTGCTAAGTACCTAGAATGTTCTAAGACAATTGCACTCATTGTACATTAGGGCAGGTGAAGAGATTTAACCAAATCCCACAGGAAGTCAGAGAACCTCAAGTACACTTCCTGAAATCCTGCCTTCCCATTTGCCCGCTGAGTTACAGAAGCATGCAGTATATGATAACATTCGTGCTTTGTGGGATCAGTGAATTTAGATGGCCTCATAATTCACGTGACCACACAACAGATATTACAGATATTATTACCACAATAAATAAAAGGTTGCTCCAAAGGTATGCATTCTGGGATATACCTTTTGAATACAATTTGAAAATTAAAAGTGTATTTGGTGGTTTAAAATATTGTCTTGCTTTCTTATACTTTTTCCCCAATTCTGGCTCTCTTTCTCTCTCCTATACCCCTGTTTCAAACATGTCCCACTTTTTAGATAGATCTTTGCTCCCTAGCTGAACTTCTCCTATGGCCATTTGTCTCCATCACCTTTGATTCTCTCCCCAAAATAAAATATTCACTTGGACACCACCCTCACTGTATCTTGACATCAATCTCCAAAAGTAAGGGTTTTAGATAAGAGAACACTATAGCAAAGAGCCTGATGACATGGGTATTAGAATTAGCTTAGACTAACCTTATGGAGTGGGGAGTATTTACGTGTACATGGCAGGCAGAATCTTCTGGTTTCACACCTCCACTGCCTCAGGAGCACTATAAATCCACTACAGACTATTTAGGTTCAGTTCCCTGCAGGTTCCGGTTGGATCGGCATTTTGTTCTCCTTTAAGTGGCATCTTCAACTCCCTCCTGCCTCTCGCAATTAGGCAAGAAAGAGCCCGAGGAAATGGGCTCCAGGAGATGGCCAACACTCAGAGCCCTCCTGGGACGGATGGAGCTCATCAGGGAGTGTGCTAGAGAGGGCAGCCTGAGGCTGAACGCTGCCAAAAATACACACTCCTCAGGAGCGTCTCATGCACCTGGCTCTTCAAGCAAAATTAATCTACCTGAAAACTTTGGGTTAGCTCCTAGAAACGGGTTGTTAACTCAAGCTGGGCCCCCTTGTTGTCATGGCCCTAACAGACTATAAAGTCTACTGCATGGGAAGTTGGTTGTGCAGAAGCAATGGGTAAGGACTTAGAAAAGCCTTACAATGTAACAGGCAACTTTCGAGGTCTGGAAAATGGCACAATAGTTGAAGCATTGAGAGAATGATAAGGATACTATAATCACCAGAAAGAGAGGAACAGCAAGTACCATGTTCCCTGAGAAAATATCCCCCACCTAGAAGAATCAAGTCCGTACACTGTGGTAAACTGTTATGTATGCTGGCCCCTCCACTCTCCCAGTGCTGCCTGCCACACGAAGTTGACATGATAAAGACCCCGCCTGGACAGTGTCAAAAGTCAATTCAGACCAAGGGTTTGCTCAAGTGCTTCTGAGTCATAGGAACTATTTTATGTTCAATTTATCACCACCATCATCATTATCATCGTCATCATCATCACCATCATCGTCATCATTTGTCATCATCATCATCTTCTTCTTCATCAGCTTCTTCAACTTCATCATCATCTCCTCATTGCCGTCACCGTCACCATCATCACCACCATCATCATCACCGCTACCACCATCATCACCATCATCATCTGTCATCATTATCAGCTTCTTCATCAGCTTCTTCAGCTTCATCATCATCTCCTCATTACCGTCACCATCACCATCATCATCATCACCACCACCACCATCATCATCGTCATCGTCATTGTCATCTGATTCCTAGTGCCATTTAAACCTGCAAAGAAGAGATTCACTCTCTACCTGGGGGAGAGTTAGGTGTTCCTTAGCTGTGCCCACCCAGGCTCAATCTTTCAGTTTCACTCTTCCTTCCATAGATGCCTCTCAGCTCAATCCAAATTGGATCTCATCAAGGACCTGGTTGGTAGCAAGGTCGAAAAACAATCTGAAACGTCTCAAAAGTTTACTTTCTCCGAGGAGTGCAACAATCTTTCTTCCCAAGAGACGCCTTTAGGCACTACAGATACGTAGCAAAAGAACCTGAGTTCTTAGGAAACGTGAGAAAATATACTGGAAATTACCTTGAGGTCTGTAAGGGGAGGTACCCATATAAACCCACAGGTCACTTATTTTTTGATGCCTTCAGAGGGGATAAATGAAGGAGAAATCCCATTTCCACAAATTCTAAAACTTAAATAGAAGCTCTTTAAAGACAGCATTTAGTATCCACTCATGTCATCATATGTATGTAAATGTTGGTGTCACTGTGTTATTTTACGTGTAATTTGTACACAAAGCAGTTAACCATTTCTATATTACAATATAACCCAGACTTACTGTACAGAATTTTTTAAGGAAAGAAAAAATAAATGTAATCCTCTTCTCATTCTTGCTAGTTCTCCAGTTAACTGTGGGGTATGCAGTATAGGGGGGCGGGTGTCGAGAGGAAGGAAAGGAGGGAGAACACGGAAGCAACACGTTAGGGACCCACATGTAGGCTGCATCAGTCATTTTGATGCCTGCGTCATGTGGACCTGGGGGTAAGAACGGCCACGTGCTAGCAGCTCACAGGTCCTGTCTCATAAAGCCCCACAGCCTAGGAGGTAGACCACATTATTATTCCAATTTTAAGATGAAATAACTGTGTCACGGTGGTTTTAAGTAACTTTTCCAAGGGTACACAGCTAGGAAATGATATAGCCAAGATGAAAATCCAGACCGGGGTCTGCAGACCACAGCCCTCAGGCCAAATCCCACGTACCACCTTCTCTGTATGTGCCGCAAACTAAGTATAGTTTTTAATATTTTCAGGTGGCTGGAAAAAGTGAAAGAATAATATTTCATGACACGTGAAAGTTACACGAAACTCAAATTTCCGTGTCCATGAGCGAAGTGTTACGGATCGCAGCCGTGCTCACCCACTGACCGTCTCTGCTGCATGTGCTTTGGCGGCAGAGACGAGCTGACAGAGACCAGTGGCCACAGAGCCTCAGTTGCTCACTCTGGCCCTCCGTGAGAAGCTGGCTGACCCTTCCAGACATGGGCTCTTCACCACGTCGGGGTTGAAGGGGAGGTGAAATTAGTCTGGCCCTGGTGCTTTCCTGTGCTTCCCTGTGCTAACCCATGGGCCACACACCGGGGGCCCTTGAGATGCTTTCTGGGTGCACTTCCCCCTCCTCCTCCACAACTCCAAGTGGGGCACCCCGTGTGTCTCTTAAAGTCGGGGAACCCAGCCACCCCTCACGGCCCCCTCTTCTCTCCTAGTCAGCAGCAGCAAACACATCGTCAGGAAGTTCCGCGGGCACCTGCGCACCAAGATTGAGTCTGGGGAAGGGACCGTACCCGTCCGCGGCCCCAGCTCGGTACAGACGTGGGATGGCGTCCTACTGGGCGAGCAGCTCGTCACCATGTCCTGCACGGACAAGATCGCCAGGTAAGAGCCCCCTCGCTTTCTTCCACTGACCCACGTGGCGTGGTCTGGCAGGGCCCCGGGTGGGAGTAGGGAATGTGCCCTCAGGGGCAGGGGCCTCGTCCCTTCACATCCCTCACAGATCACACTTTCCGTTTCCTGTGCTTGAGGCCAAAGTGCCCTGAGCAAACCGTGCCTGGCCATTCCGAGCCGCCGCTGCAGCAGACAGAAGCTGCGGCCGGGTCTCCGTCCCAGTGGTCTGGGCGCTGCCGGGCTGGCCTCCAGGCCTGACCCGGAGGCAAAGGGAGCTCTCGCCTCCGCCCACCTTTGCTCAGCACCACCCCCGGTCAGCCGGCCCCCAGGCGCCTGACCCCGATCGCCCACCAGCCCCCACCCCACCCCACCCCACAGACACCCCGTACCCCAGGCCGTCTTGCCCCTGCAGTGTGGGGTGCCCTCAGGCCTCTTCCTCCCGCTGAAGCCTGACAGATTTCAGGAGACGTGTCCCCCTGTGCCTCGGCTGAAAGTCGTGCCCCCGGCCCTGAGACACTTCTCCCTGTTCTCAAAAGCCCCACTGGAAGGTCGCCCACAGAGCCCCCGCTCCCCATGCCTCTGCCCATGCTCCAGGATGTGCTGTCCCCTCAAGCGCATTTCTGGGACTCTGGTTTGGAAGCAGTCACAGAGCACAGTGGCGGGGTGGGGGGAGTGCGGGGAGATTTAGATACCCCCTGACAGAGCCGTAAACAGGCCGCAAGCCGCCCCGCAGTGGGAATAAGGCGCTCGCGGAAAGCCTTTGTTCAGGGTGAATCAGAACATCTTTGGAAGCGTGGGTAAATGTGCTGATCTGGAATCTATAAACTAAGTGAACAGGGTGCGTCCCCTGCAAGTGTGGTCTCGGGAAGCCCCCACCCACCCCCAATTCCAACTGCACTGCCGCCCGCCTGAGATGCTCGCAAGGGCGCATCTGCGGCTGAAGCTCCGAAGAGCTGAGAAGACGGTGGGAGTTATGAGAGGAGAGCGGGTGGAGCCGGAGCAGGTGAAACTCCATACACCGGAGGAGCGGCCCCCGCAGGGCCCAGGCACCATGCACCGTCCTGGGCGTGGTTCCCAGCACACTGCCGCCCCGTGAGTCTGGACTGTGTGCCTGTCTGTCCCCCAACGCAGGCTGGGCGCATCCTGCAGCTCCTCCAACGTTTGCTGACTGGCTGAAGGCCATCTTTACCTACCAAAACTCAATCCTTGGGGCCGGCTCCGTGGTCGAGTCGTTAAGTTCGTGCACTCCACTGCGGCGGCCCAGGGTTCGGATCCGGGGCACAGACATGGCACCACTCGTCAGGCCATGTTGAGGTGGCGTCCCACATCCCACAACTAGAAGGACGTGCAACTAAGATATACAACTGTGTACAGGGTAGGGTTGGGGAGATAAAGCAGAAAAAAAAAAAAAAGATTGGCAACAGTTGTTAGCCCAGGTGCCAATCTTTAAAAAAAAAAAATCTCAATCCTGGTCCATGGCGCCTCCTCTTGGAAAGCAGCAAGCAGAGCCGTCAGAGGCAGAGCCGCCCTCGGGGATTCAGGGCCCAGGGGTATCGCAGGCTCCAGGGAAGGAGAGGGATCCCGGCCTGCCCCAGGCTGCTGCAGACTCCGGCCCCGCAGGACGGCCCCCCTTCTCCAACTCCTGGGGCCCTCCCGCCTCTGCAGTAAATCCTCAGCCCCTGAGAACGGACCCCAATTCCCCTGCATTATTAGCAAACGGCTGCAAGAGCCGTGGGGCCCTCGCTCCCAGGCTGTGACATCTCCCGGCCCAGCACAGCCACAGCACAGCTCAGTGACCGGAGATCAGAGCCTGATCTCTGCCGGGAGGAGCTGGCAGCCCTTAGTTCGTCTCTCGGAAGAAAACGCGTTCCTCCTTTGTAATATTTTCATCCATTCATGAAGTGGGAAAAAAGGCCGCAGCTCTCACCTCGACCTACATCCTTCTGGTGCCCTAAGTCCTCACTGGGTTTCTGGATTAACTCTCTGATCCCCCAGAAAATGAAGTGAATTAATGCTACCGAGTTGAAACTTCGCTGTTTCTGGGACCTTAAACGTCAACAGACAGTAAGTTAAACTACGCGGCAGGCCCTTCGAGGTAACGCAGCCGCTCAAAAGTCAGGTGTTGCCCTTTTTAATAAAAATCTACTCAAAAGACAAAAGTCCGCGACTTCACAGGGCTCCCCTGAAATTGGCCACAGTGACAGTATTTACACCATGGAAATTGGCAAAAGCTCCAAATAGTGCCCTTTATTTTTCACGCGTACCACTGAATGCCAGTGTCACAGGGGTCTTGAAGCAAGTGCACACGGAGCTGGAAATAACACATCTGAGGCTGGCTCTGCAGGTTGTTCTCACGTCGGGGGAGCGAACACACAGCGGTCAGGATCCCAGACAGCAGCGTGAAGGCAGGAGACAGAGGGGAGGGAGGCGGGACCGGCAGACGAGACTCATCCTCGGACCTGAGAAGACAGTTGTGACCTCAGGTGTCCCAGAGGATGCCGCCACCCACGACTCCCGCTTACACATCCTCCCCTGTGAGCAAACAGAAGACATGACTCGGAGCCTGCCTTGCCCTCTCCCCGCCACACTCTCAAGGATGTCCATCCATCGTCCCACTTCTCCTCCCCTCCAGATCCCCCAGGGCCTCTCGCCTCCGCGGGGGCCTTCTCCATCACGTCTTCCTCTCCTTCCCGAATCCTCCACCCCGAAACTATGCCGTCACCATTTGAGCTCCTCTTCCTCATCTTAAAAAGTAAATCTCTAAACCCAGCATCCTCCTCGGGCTGCATGTATGCTCCCTTCTAACCCAGACTTCCTGAGAGAATTGTCTGACTCACCCCCAGCCACCCCACAAGGCGTCTGGCTTCATCTGCGCCACTCGGGTGCAGTCGTCCTCACTAAGATCAACGGGAACCCACCGTCCTCCTCCCAGGCACTTGGGACATGTCTCTCCTTCAAATTCGCTGCTCTGGGACTGGCCCAGAGCAGACGCTGAGAGGTCACTGCAGACCCTCCTTGCTTACCACCCACAGGCCATCGCTCCCACGTCCCATGCAGGCCGCCTCCTCACCCCTCAAGCCCACCGCCTGCTCTTCCTTTTCTTTGGAGCCTTGGTCCAGGCCCTCCTTCCTCCCTGGAATTCCTCTCTCCCGCCAACTCCTCATCCCGTGTCCACTCAGCACAATGGATGCCGAGGGAAGAAACTGGTGGACTGGCGGGCAGGGGAGGGGAGAACGGGAGGATGAAAGGCTGTCGTGACAGAGGCCGCGATGGCGTCCAACCCCTCACAGCCCGTCTGCAAAGCTTTGTTAGCGGAAGGACATGCATAACTGGTGGAGACACGGCCAGGCGCTGGCGGGGCCAAGCACACACGGCGTCCTTGCTACTGACGACTCCAGCCTCCAAGAACACGATTACTAGCGAGGGCACGGCCTTGAGACCTGTACCGAGAAGACACCCGGTCGCTGTGGGGAGACACCAGGCAAGGCCAGAGCCGCGTCTGGCTTTTACAGTCGCCTGTCTGATGGAGGCTCGAAACTGCCCACATGCTCACGGGCACAGACGGCGTGGGCGCGGTCGGCAGCCAGGAAACACTGAAGAACAGACCCGCTCTCTTGTGAGGACGGCGGTGACCTCAGGTACGGGTGGTGAGCAGGACAGAAGCTGGAAGGATAAAGGCGGTGGTCTCCCCAATGTCCATGTGGCGACTCTCAAAGATGGAAATGACGTCTTCCGCCCAGCCCTAATTTTTGCCCCTCTCAGTAGCCAAAGCTAAAAAGTTATTTGTGCTGCCCATAAATTCTAGGGCCGTGTCTGTAACCAGTTACAACTACCGATTTTCTTTCCGAGGGTCTTATCCCAAACGCTGCGTGGAGTCCACACCCACATATATTTAGTAACTTAGAAATTTCCTGATTAATAGATGCGGTTTTGTTTGAGCGGCCATGAAACAGAAATGCTAGGCTGACTTCACTCATCACCTGCTCATGTGACTTTTATGTACTAAAATGAAAACAGGTGAGTAACATGGTATCTTTAATTAAGGTAGAGAAAGTGTGTCCAATAAATGAATTTGTAATTCTCTTTGCAAATCCCCTTTGATATCAATGAAAAATGAACTGGGACCGGATACATCGAAAGATCCAGACAGCCAAGACGGCTGCATCATTTCCCACCCACAGATCAATGCACACGTATCACTTTTTAGATCAATAATGCCCAAATAATAATATAAATTAGACCACAACAGGCATTCTTCTGAGTACGAATTCCATGAATAACAATTGGCACCATTTTACAATGTCACTTGTAAGACAGGTTTACAGCAAAGCATGTTGTAGAAAACTTGAAGATTTTCCCCACGGTTTAAAATGAGCCGTAAAACAAGTGGCGACGCTTCCTAGAGTCCCACCGACAGGATAGTTCTTCACATTTCCTTACATGTTATCTGTGCTTCCAGCTGCTCTGTCCTCGGCCCTCTCTGCATTGCCGCGGACTCTCTCTGAAGCCCACAGGGACGGTGGTTACGTCTGCTGGGGGGGGCGGGGCGGGTGTGAAGGAAAATATGATGGGTTAACGATGAGCTCATCCCTGACGGTCCCAATCCTTATCAAGGGCAGATCCCCATGAGAAAGAAGGTCCATGCCTCTGAGATCAGGGTCACGAATCTTTTTCAGGAGACCGTTACATCTCTCTGGGGATCATTTAACGAACCCAGTTCTCTCCATCATAAACAGGGTCAGCCCACATGGGGAGATGGGAGATGCGTGTGACCTCCTTCTGTCCACGGGGAACTTCTTCCACTCAGGAGAATTCTGAGCTGTCTCTAAGCCTGTCCCCCGAGCCCTCGCAGGGATCTGAGGTCCAGCGACAGGGGGAAGCGCTCAGCTGGTGGGGCAGGCCCCCATCCTGTGCATTCCCGCCATCACCCACCTGTCTTTGTGCCCCGAGAACAGCACTGATTTCCCATTGGTGCTTGTTAGCCCAAAGGA